CGTATGAGTTGGCAACCGGACTAGCTAGTGAGGGATCCCCGTGTCCGTCAAGAATTTAAGTTGAGATTGGAGTTTTAAGAATACAGTTTTAAGAGTTATGATTTTTATTAGTGGAGGTACAAAACAACCTCCACTGAGTTAAGTAAAGTGATCAAGTATTAATAAGATGTTAAACATAAGGGCGTAGACTGACCCCATCACACTCACCAGTTCGAAGAGCTAGAGGAAGAGCTAGAGGAAGAGCCAGAGGAGCAGTTAGAGAGCAGCGGTTCGAGGGGAGCTAGCTGGAGGAGGATGGTAGGAGCATCAGGGAGGATGTCTAGTCAAGGTTATCATTCAGCAGCAACGTGTAAGATTATTTAGTTATTATATTTTATGATTATGAGTATAGACTGGAGATCATATTGAGATTTTAAGGTTTGAGTTAATTTGCCCACATGTTAGGGCGTTGCTTTTAACTACAAGTGTGTATGCTTTCAGTATTTTATTTATGAAAAATTTTCCCACTATAATTTAAGGTTCGAGTATTTTATTTTTCAAGGCATTTTAGTAAAAGTAGTACCCGGTCGGGTTAGGGTGTTTCACTACATCCATGGACCCCAGAATCTTTTTTAGCGGTAGGTTGGTCAGCACCACGATGGCGTGCGCCTGAAAATACGACCACAACTTCTCGATGGCTGTTACTACCGCCAAGGCCGCATTCTTGATAGGCGCGTGCCTCGTCTTAGGACTAGTTTACGTCTTGCTCACGTAATAGACTTGCCTTTCTTCCTCGGACTCACTTCTCCTTGATACGAGGACTCCGTTAATCGCCATCCGGGAGACCACAATTAAAAAGTAGAACACCTCGCCCATTTTCAGAGCTGTCATTACGGTGGGTGTCGTAAGGAGGCCCTTCAGCTGCTCGAACGCCTGGTTGCATTCCTGGGTCCACTTGAATCTTGAGGCTTTCTTCAGTACTCGGAAGAAAGGCGCCCCCTGATTGGCCGACCGGGGAATGAAGCGACCTAACGCCGCTAAACGCCCGTTAGGCTATGGACTTCTTTTGGCGATCGAGGGGGACTGAGGCCCGTTATCGCCTCCACTTGCTTCGGGTTAGCTTCGATTCCCCTCTTCGTAATCATAAATCCAAGAAACTTTCCCGCCTCCGCTCCAAACACGCACTTCAAGGGGTTGAACCGCAGGTGGTGAAGGCGTATGCACTCAAAGGTTTCCCGGAGGTCTTTCAGGTGCTCACCCCTCTCCTTACTCTTGACCACCAGATCATCCACGTATGCCTCTACATTTTGTTCGATTTGTGCCCTGAACACCTCGTTCACCATGCGCTAGTACGTGGCTCTTGCATTCTTTAGCACGAACGACATAACTCGATACCTGAAGTTTCCGAACGGGGTCATAAACGATGTCTTGTCCCTATCTTCTTCGCACATCGGTATCTGGTGGTACCAGGAGAACATGTCCAAAAAACTAAGCGCCTTGTGATAAGCGGTGGCGTCCACCAGTTGGTCAATCCTTGGCATGGGATAAGCGTCCGTAGGACACACCCGATTCAAGCTCGTGTAGTCGATGCACATCCTCCACTCGTTGGATGCCTTAGGCACCAGGACCACATTAGAAAGCCATGTGGTGTACTTTGCCTCTTCAACGAACCCGACCTCTCTTAGTTTTGCCACCTTCTTCCACAATGCTTCCTCTTTCTTCGTCGACAAGGGCCTTCTCTTCTGTTGCACAGCGGGCGTGCCCTTTGCCATTTCCAGGCGGTGCTGCGAGATCTCTGGGGACAGACTTGGCATTTATTTTGCACTCCATGCGAACAGATCCACATATTATTTAAGGAGGCCCACCATTGGTTCGATCAGATCATCACTGGTGTGCGCCGAGATGTGCACGCAGCGTTCGAGGCATGCCTCGTCGAGTTACACCTGTATTTCGGCGTCAGCCGCTTCCGCTCTAGGCAAGTCCTCAGGGCGCACATCTACGCTGTACATCCGATTTCTTTTTGCGAGGCGTGCCTCTTGGGACCCCTCTCCTCGGGAGACGCCGACCCCCTTGCTCGTGATGAATTTCAACACTTGGTGGCAGGAGGAAGCGACACCATTGAATAGCGCCGACAGAGGTCTCACCACTATCGCGTTGTACGGAGATAGACAATCTACGATACCAAAATCTACCGTGTGAGTCACACGATGCTTTTCGTCACCCAAGGTAACTGGGAGGCGTACGCGCCCCACCACTTGTGCTGGGACCCCTGAGAATCCTACACACACCTTGTTTGTCGGTCTCACCAAGCCAGGCGAGAGCTGCATTTGCTTAATGTGGTGAGAAACAACACATCCATCGAGCTTCCAGTTTCAACCAATATGCGATTTCCTTCACATACGGCTACTATCCCCCTTATCTCAAGTGCTTCCACAGACGGGATGCGACACGCCTCCTCTGGCACTTCATTAAAGCCGATCTGAATGGTCTCCCGCGCGCTTGCCGTAGCTGACTTAAGGCGCCAACCCTCATCTACCTTCTGCCTTAAGTCAATTGACCCAGTTATAGCTTTGATGGTTTGTCTGATGCGGCCAGGCTTGGTCTCCTGGTCGCATTTGAAAGGCGGAGGGGGAGGCGCCCTTTCGACTTCTTCCTGAGAATGAGGCCCTGCCTTCATGCTGGCCGTCGGGTCGAGCTCCCGTTCTTGCGCCAGGAAGGTTCACTGTCTTGTCGTCCTTCTTCAAAAACTCACTGAGCATTCCCCGATCGACTAAACTTTGTACCTCCGATTTGAGCTGATAGCAATCCGTCGTGTAGTGCCCTCTTTCTCTATGAAAGTCGCAATATCTTTCCAAGTTCTGCTCGTTAGGGCGCCCACACATCGGACCCGGCCACCGCAGGCGGTATCCTTTATCTTTCGCGTACTACAGGACATTCTTCAAAGAGTCATTGAGCTCGGTGAAATTTCCGCCGCATCGTGGTGGGGGTCGCGGCGCCTTTGTCGACAGGCTCCTGGGAATAGTTCGGGGAGTTAAACGGGGCAGGTAGCGCCTTAGGCTCTACGCTCCCGTCACCCTCCTCGGGTTGCGCCTTGCGTCGGTCCATTCTCCTCGCGGCTAAAGTCTCCTCGAGCATTATGACCTTCTGGACCCTCCGATCCAGATCTTCATTGGAGGTGACGTCCCTCTTGGACAGCGCCCTACACAGTTCTTCGCTTGTGGTACACTCATCCAGATAGCACCCCTACATCGGGGGTCTAACGTCCCTTACCGACATGACTACGGACATCCACCGCTCGTAGAAGTCTCGGAGCGTCTCGCCTTCCCGCTGCCAGACCTTAAACAACGCGCTGATGGTAAGGCCCGGCGCTTTCTGCTGGCAAATTGCTAGAGGAACATTACGGCAAACTCCTCGAAGCTATCAATCCTTCCTTCCTCGATATGATGGTACCAGTCAAGCACCACGCCCGTAAAGGTCGAGGGAAAGGCGCGACACAAAGTGGCGTCAGAGCTGTTGTACAATTGCATCTTGGTAAAATAATTGTTCACACGATCCTCTAGGTCAGTCGTCCCATCATAACTTGGCAAAGCCGGAATGACTGAAATAGCTTGCTCGGTCAGGATACTCCGTGCTAGAGGTTGCCTCACGGCCCACGGCCTTCCCGAGCGCCTAGGCGCCCACCCATTGTGCTCCTCAAAGTCTGTTGCTATGTGCTTTGTCAGGTCGCCAAGGTCTTCCGTGCGCTTCAGAGCGCTGGACATATCATCATCGTCTTCCTGTCTCTTCTTTCGTTTTGATCCGGGCGAAGGCGCGGCGCCGGCTCCCTTCTTTAACGCCTCCACTTCTTTCTTAAGTATCTCCAGCGCCTGATCTTGATCCTCAATGATACGGATCAGGTCTTCTTTGGTTAGCAAGGCGCCTTCCGACTGGGTTGTTTCTTCCGCTTCTGCGCCTCCCCGTGGGATTTCCTCCGAAAACCGAGGCGCCTCCTTCGAGGCTGCTTCGGGATGGGCACGCCCCCTTTCTCCCTCAGCCGCTCCTTCCATATCCAATAGTTCCCTTCCCTTCGGGTTATATTCCCCTTTCTGGCGCGCCAATTGTTCGTGCCGAGTAACTCTCTCTCCTTAGGCGCCTTCCCCTCGTAGGCCAAACCCCGAGCTCCACGCGCGGACCCTGCACGAAAGGCGCACATCGGACCTTCAAGTTCCGTTAGCACTCCGACGATCAAGTTAACACCTTCTTTTAGAGAGAGAAGTAGAGCAAAGTTCTAGTGAGAGATCCCAACCTGAGTAAATGAGGTTCACCTACTTGGCTATTTATATCTCGAGGTCGGCCTACCATTGCCCCCCAAATCCGCCCTACGTCGTCACCGCAATTAATGCATCGTACCTCCAATTTATCATGTGCCTTGACTGTCTGACACAATGTTCAGAGATTCGAGGCACCCACCCTGCTTTACCGCGCCCTCCATACGCTTTTGGCCGGCCTGGCCTCATCCCCTGCGCCCTCCGTACATTTTTAGTCATCGATCACTCTCTTTTGTCGCCATGTGCCTTGTGTCAGAGGTCGGTCCCCACTTTGCCAGCCTTATTCTTAACCATCATTGGGTTGGGCCTCTTTCTCGTTGTCTGCCCTTCTCCTCCTTTGGGCCTTATTTACGGGCTTCTTTCGGTGTCCCTACTTGGTTGGGCCTTCTTGTTGGACTTTTTTCCACCCCCAAATCCCCAATAGATCTCTACTCGTCCAGTTATTCCCTCCATATTTTAACTAGCTATTGATTTGGGCACATCGGTTGGTATATAACCAACATGACTTTCTTGCAAGTACCTTGCGATCGACGGTAGCGAGGAAAGAGCACATCGTAGGTCTCGAACTAAGGAACTTCAGCAAATTCATTATTTAGGATGAGCTGAATTTTTTACCGTATAAATTTAACTTTGACAACGACAACCATCTTGTAAGATCTCTGGCAATAATTGAGTATGTTAGTAGAACAACATTGCATTTAGATTCGGACAAACTGCATATTTACCATTCTATTAGAGATGCAATAAAGCTATAGTTGGTCAACGCCTCCATTTTCCAAATGCTTTTTTTAGGGGACCAAATTAAATAGCTTAACTCCATGTCCTTTCTCTAAACTAATCCAGCTGAAAAAGATAGAAAAGCACAATCTAAGCAAGAAAACAAAACAAAGACCAATCCCTTCTTCTATCAAAGAAAACAAATCAAACAAAGAAAGACGAAGACAAAACACAGGATTAGAGCGAGAGGGAGAGGGAGAGAGAGCATGGAGGAATTAGAAGAAGATTTGTCTGCTGCTCCAATGACAATTAATTATGCAAACAGAAGCATCGTCGTCATCATCATCATTCCAATTTCCAACAACTCTTCTCAAGTTCTCATCCCTTCTGTACAAACTTCTCAATTAATTAAGCAAGAAAAAAGACAAGAAAGAAGATGATTAGAGGATAATCTTCTTCTTCTGATCTCCCCCTCCCAGCTGATTAACAAATAATAATCAAACAAGCAAAAACAGAACCCAAAACTCACAAATCTCAGAAACCATTTTTAACTTAATAGCATCCCCCATCAATCAACAATACTCTTTAAACACGAAAAGCAAAGTAATTCACTTTCTGGTCTTCTTCTCTTTGCCCATCAACATGGTGCCGAACCCGAACAGATTAGCGGTTCCTTTTGAGATCGGGACGTTGAGAACAGGGCTGATTCGGGCCGTACCGTTGGGATAATGGTGAGAAGAAGAAGATGATGATCCGTACGGGTTCCTCTTCAGGGGAGGCTTCTGCGGGAATGAATACACATACCCAGAGCTACTATTTGATGAAGATGGTTGCTTGTGGGAAATAATTGGCTTGTGGGTAGGATGGAAATCAGGTTTCTGAATTGATTTTTTGGGAATTGGAGGGACCGAACCGGTCGAATTGCTCCGGGCCAGAAGCGGGGGCAGGGAGCAAATTAGGGTTTTCTTGAGGTCGCAGTTTAGGCTGCTGCTCCTCTTGAATCCCCAGAACGATTTCGACGACGATGAAGGTTGCAGCTGGTTTTGATGTTGATTGTGATCGGAAGACGCCCTCGATTGATCTTCAGATTCCGGAGCCGGAGCAGCCGATTTCTTTGACGGAGGAGGCAGAGGAGCTAAAGGCGGAAGCTTCGGATGGTCGAAGCTCTGTGCCCGGCGGTGGGCGGCGGAGCAGTTGAAAGTGGTGGCGGAGGAGGTGGTGTGACGGCGGTGGAAGGGGAGGATGATGCCGTCGGCGAAGAGCTCGTCGGCGGAGGAGGATGAGTATTGATCGCCGGAGTTGCTGGAGACGCTGAACTCAAACGGCTGATCGGCGGTGGGAGTAAGAGTGGCGGTGGTGGGGTTGGAATAATGATCGAGGAGGTTGGCGTCCCTCCTCCACTGTTGCTGCTCCGGCGTTGGGGATTCATTATCGTCGGCGGGATCTCTAGAGAAGGAGAGCCGAGGCGCGGTTTCTGAACACATGGTCGGGAAATGGGAAATGCTTTGGCTGCTGGGTTCTCTGTTTTTTCGGGTTGAAATGGGAAGTTAATGGGGGGAAGTCTGAAAGAGAAAGTCAAAAAGCGGGGGTGAGAAAACCCTTTCGGCTAGAGAAATTTGGTGGAATGGAGGGAAGATGAAGAAGAAGAAGAAGAAGAAGAAGGGGGGTTTGGCTTTGCTCTGTTTTCTTACCCTCTGAAATGGGAGAAAAGATCGAACCCAGAAGTCGTCTCACATTACTGTTACTCTTTCTTTTTTAATCCCCTCCTTCTCATCACGTCTGTCTGTCTGTCTTTGCTACTGTTGTTGTTCCAGCAAGAGAAGAAGAAGAAGAACGATGACTGGCCTTGCTCAACTTTAACTTTTTAATTTTCTCCCATTCATAATGGAGAAAACTTCGGACACAATTCGGCTATTATGCTTACAACTCGGTTTGCACCGTTTATACTTGACCAGATCGATATAGAACGTATAATATGGTCTAGTCCTTGATTGCGCAATTCTTTTATAAATACATAAGAAAATTAGATTAGATCAAATTCTTATTGGACCGAATGCAATAATTGTATGGTCTTTTGTACTAAGATTTCTTTTACAATTAGACCATAGTTCTCATAGTTTGATTTGGTACAAATCGGACCATTGCACACCCGTACTCATATGCACCTTGTGAGAACGTGCTCACAAGCGTCCGACACCATTGTATGTATCCGACACATGCTCATAAAATTCCATCCAACGGTCACAGATTGCCTGAGTCCGATCCAAAAGTTTGACTTGATGTACCGTAAACATATCTTAAGCTTTCATATTAACATTCAACAAAACCTTAAAGTTAATCGTTCGCTTTCGCTTGATGGATTTGGTGATGGATTTGGGTTTGTGATGAACTTTGTCCAAAATCCATTGTTTGCTTCAAGTATTTATAGGTACCAAATTCGTGGGACCCATGGACTTTGAGGGTCCAAACCCTTGGGTCCCACTGAGTTGAAAATCCCACCTCTTTAGGTGGGAATTGATCATGGATTTTGAAGTCCATCATTTTTTACCAATCTACCTCTCATATTTTCTTTATCTTCTTATATCATTAAGGACAATAAAGGTAAAGTTCACTTCATACTTACAAATTTAATTAACAAAATCCTTATGATATCCATGAAATAAACAATGGTAATTTCCAAATCCAAAATGAATCCAAAACTCTCATATATCCATGATTTATCAAAGCCCAAATTATACAAAAACCTTCATTTTTTTCAAATCTAGCGTTTTCAAGGTGCTACTATGTTCGGGACACCCCTAATTGATTGACACTTTCTCCCGTGGCTTTGGGTTTCTTTTTCTTGGGTAGGAAGATAGGCGTGGGGTGCCCTTGGTATTCATTACTAATTGACTTCTTTTTCTAAGTTTTCCTTTGTTTAGATGATTTAACATAGTTAGCCGTCGTCACTGGAAATTGAGGTTTTGGTGGCTTAGGTAAGTAGTCCGTTACCTTGAAAACCACTCTTCATCACAAATACTTCACTCTAGGCCTTTCCAAAAGACTCCAATCGTATCACAAATTCATTAGCTATTGTTAGAGATAGATTATTGGTATCATCGTGATTAATGTTCATCTCATTTTCGGTCAACATATGAATTGCAAGTTTAATGCTTTCTTCTTTTCCAAAACGATGGTTAGTTGGCCTCGCTCTTCAAGCAAGAGAACTCGATGGGTTTGCATCACAATCTACACCATTACATTGCGGGGACGTGTTCTTCAAGATTGGTGTATGTTGGTCAAAATTGATGTTGTTCTTCGCATCATCATCTTGCGGGGGCGTGTTAGAGATATATTAGGAATAATTTATATAGTTCTTAGTATTACCGTGTCCTTGTATTAGAATTATTGTTGTTCTCTTACTTATTGTCCAAATTTTATAATCTATATAAACCCTTTTGTGGTTTCATGATAATACAAGTTACAAGTTTACTATTCCTAAAACTTTTATGGCCCCGTTTGGATTAGGTATTTTAAAATGAGGTATTTGAGATCCAAATCTCTCAACCAAAACCCTAGGAATTTGAAACGTGGGATTTAGCGCAATTCTGCGTTTGGGAATGGATCAGGATTTTAGCCCAATTAATCCCAATTACACGATTACCCCTCTCTTCTTCTTCTCTGTTCCTTCGTCTCGGCTTCTGGCTGCTCTAACTCTTTTGCTATTATGCCGATTTCTGCAGCAAAGGGTCACTGAATTGGGATGGGAAGGTGGCGATGTCAGTATAGGAGTTTTTGCTTGGATGCCAGAAGAAAGACGATGGAGAAGATGAGGATGAACTGAGAAGAATGAAGAGTAATGCCCATAATCTCTCATATATCCAAACGCATGATTGTTTTAAAATCTTGCATAATGAGGAATTGTTTTAAAATCTCTCATAAATCTCTCATTAAAAACCTGCATCCAAATGACCCCTATATCTTTCATCTTTTTGTTCATTTTGTAACTCTGAGGTCCTATATTACGTGTTGCTTAAGCTAATATAGTATTGACAATACACATTTTGGTTTCACTACATTCATCCTCACTCAACTAGGCAATATGACACGAACTGGCTAGATTTTTCTTGTATCCATACAAATTCAAGATATTATTGAAAGTTAGAGTTCACTATTGCAAATCTTTTCTAGATTATCTGGAATATGTTCTTAGTTTGGATAAGGCGGTGCTCCTGCACGCTCGATAAATATGAGAAATCGATGCTTGTGACCCTTGATGCTTTCTGGATTGTTGTTATTGCTGGTGCCAACAACCCAGATTGTGGTTCAACAATGCCAATCGATGGGTTTTCTGCTTCGAGGCTGCTCGCGTTCTTGTTGCTTTCCTTACTGTTTCTGTAATGCTGATTATCGTTCTCCATGGAATGACGCATAAAGCCCTTCTCCTTTTTGAACGGTGAATTCGTAATACTAGTAATATGAGATTCGAGAAAATGTAAAAGACAGAAAAAGGAACCCACCCTGTGAGGAGGAAGTAGTGGTGGAAAGAAGGTGAACCATCATCAACAACCCTTTACCTCATCCTCATGCTTCTGTGTTATGATACCATCAAGAAGAAGCAAGAAAGCAAAGCTACTCCACATCTCTACTTCCTCTAAAAGGAAGACCCTCTTCATAATTGCCTTTGCTTCCTTTACACTTCACACTGCTAGAAAGAGGCAAAGAAGCTGGGAATTGGGTCCAATTTATTTTGCACGACTTCTCTTCTTTTGCTTTTATCCTATAGATGGTAAGTGCGTACCTATATGTTCCCGTGAAGGAGTACTCCGATGTCTAGAAAGACAGAATGTGACTAGAATCAAGAATAGAAATTTGATCCCAGACTTGAAGATTATGTTCCTCATGGACATGGTACATATACATAATACTGTACCCAATTTCCCCCAACAATATTATGGTGCAGTTTGATTGTTTATATGCTACTTATCATGATAGTCGGTTCAATCATGATGACATGTGATTTGACATAAATAGTCTAACAATCGACAATTCTCACTAAATGATGTTCTTCCTTGTTACATATAAGGATCCGACTAGAACAGTAAATCGAACCGGTCAAACTGTCAAACAAGTATAATAGTGGATGGCTCATCTCTTCCTTTGGTTTTTTATAAGGGTGACATAGCTTTATTTTTATAATTAGGTGCTACTGAAAGGAGTTCGAACATCAGAATCTCCTTCTCTTTATTTTTAGCCCCACTTTTATTTTCTTCGTCCAACCCTAATGTGTACATTGTACAAATTGACCATTAATTATGACTCGTTAACAATCTTGGCTTAGTGTTTCCATCCAATTCAGAAAACAGAGGAATAACTACTGTGAGTTTTGGACAAGATATCTCTAATTATGTAAGAAAGAAAGAAAATGGAGGTAGGTTGGAACTTGAAAGCCTAGTTAGGTTAGGTGATCGAAATGGATACAAGTTTGGTCTAGATCTCGTGAAACTGAGAGGCTCGTACGTACTTGTGTAAAATAGCATTTGTAAGTAGTGAGTATGAACTAATTAATTAATTCATAGTATAATCATACTATATACACTAGCGACAAAAGATTTCTTTTGAGGAGAGTTCCAAGGACGTCGGTGTTTGAGATTTTAAATTACTACACATTGCATGTGTGGTGGTTTACTAATATCAATAGTGCTCCTTGTACTTTCAATTTTAGGGTTTATTCTGAAAGAAAATTGATGTAAGAAGAAGAGGGTTGGGCAGAGAGAAGATTGTTCGAAGATTGAATTTTTTTTTGAGAGACATAACCGTGTTGAGACTTGGGAGAGATAAACATATATAGGGATTTCCTACAATAATTTGAAGTAAGGTAACTTAAATTTTTTTATCTGCAACAACAGGTTTCACAGGTCGCATTACGTAATGGTTACGTAACATATGGTAATCTTATGTAACAATTATAAAAGATCATTACGGAAGTCTTACGTAATAAAATGTGTCTTTACGTAATGAGTATTATCCTCACGTTACGTAAAATGTTAAGTCATTACGAAAGTCTTACGTAACGCTACTGATTTAACTATTACATAAGAAATAGTTGTCGTTACGTAACCTTTACGTAATGAAAAGGTTTTTTTACGTAATGAGTATTAACCTCGCATTTCGCTTCCGATTTAACTGTTACGTAAGAAATAACTATCGTTCTGTAACCTTTACGTAATGAATCTGTATTTTACGTAACAGTTGTAAAATGTCATTATGGAAGCCTTACGTAATGGAAGGTCTCTTTACGCAATGAGTATTAATATCGTGTTACGTAAAGAGCTAAGTCATTACGGAAGCTTTACGTAACGCTTACGATTTCACTGTTACGTAAGAAATAACTATCGTTCCGTAACCTTTACGTAATGGAAGATCTCTTTACGTAATGAATATTAACCTAACGTTACGTAAAGTGCTAAGTTATTATGGAAGTCTTGCGTAACGCTTCTAATTCAATAAGAATTAAAATAAGGAAAGCAAATAAATGTGAAAAAGTAAAGAAAATAACCAAAAAAGGTAACTTGCTTGGGTGGTGACCGGCAACCCCTGCTACCAATGATTTTTACTTATTTTTTATTTCTTTAATTAATGGTTTAAAATAAGTTTGATAGATTTCAACGGGTTATATCTATACAAGTCACCTAACTTGAAATTATACCCAAGTTACTCTAGGAGGTCCCATATATATATATTCATGTTTGATCATGTGCTGGTTAACTGATAACCGGCTATTCGATGGAATGGGTTAGGGTGGATACTAATTTTTTAGTAACCATCGTGACAACCTTCATCTAAATCTTAATTAGCTCTATTTTTCCCTTTTTTAAAATATGGTCAAGATTTGATTAAGGATAATTTTGAAATAAAAATATTGACACA